TGATTAGTATTCTGGGGGTGTCTGAGGGACGAAAGCCCACTGTCTGTCTTCAGGGCTGGTGGCAGCTCGCTCTCTCTTCTTTTTTTTCCTTTTTTTTTTTTTTTGAACTGTAAGCCACCAACCTACAACCCTGTAAGGATGCAATTGCTACGATGAACAATAAAAGGAAATGTGTAAGACCTACTTTTCCATGTAAAGGTCCATGTAGCAAAAGCACAGCATCTTGATTTTAATTAGTAAAGTCTACTTTGTTGCATATCAATTAAAACTCCACTGGTAGTGTTTTTGAGGTTTCAGAAATACCTGGGGCTCTAAAAAATTAGGACTTTAAAACATACTTCTGCAAAATTATTGGCTACACAGCATTGAGTAATAGATTGTTAAACACACTAGAAATAATAATTTTTAAAAATAAGTTAGTTTAAACCTAAATTAAAACGTAACTGAAGAGTTTAAACAGCAATTAAACATTTACTGAAATGTGTGATGTGTAAACTTGCCACAGCTTTCCTCCAATTAAGCTGGAGACAATCCACAGTACATAAGAGCACAGATCACCACAAAATCAACATAATAAAACATGCTAAAATGCAGGCAGTAGACAAACCACAGAAAGACAACCAGCACAAAACTGCACAGATTAAAAATAACATCATTCATTAGTCCACACAAGTTTTGAAGAATATTAAGTAACTACATTCCAATAATTAAGAAAAATACTAACAGAAAAACGCTGAGCATGTATTTTCAATTTGCTATATCTGATATTTCAAAATTACAGATAAATGCTCAAGATAAACTTCCAAAACAAAACAAGAAAACACACCACAAATATCTGGTATGTTGCAGAGTCAACTAGATGCACTTCTAAAAGAAATTAAAAGCTCCAGTTGAAGACAGTGGCCAATACTGTAGCTATATATCAACAACAAGGGTCCTAATAATTATTTTATTCTTGCAATAAGGAAAAAAAACACTACTCCATGTCAGCTTAAGGTAAAAAACCTCTAAAATAAATCTAAGGAGAATGGTATTTCAAGATGCTGAGTTAATCAATGGAACTGAGTTATTTATGTATTTTGTGATTATCTAACGCATTAAAGAAAAATGTAATATTCACATAGGTATCAGCATAAAGGCAGCAAGCTTAAAAAAAATCTTTAGAAAAGTACTACTGATTTATATCCAGGAATTTAATTTCATATAAAAGAAAAATTAACCTTTAACTGTGGGGATTTTATATAATAGTAATTCAAAGGTTTTACTTGTTTGTTTCCAGATTTAAAAAATCTTCAAGTAACCCAATGAGGGGGCAAAAAACAGTAATACTGGAAAATACTCATCTAACCTTTATGCTACCTTAGAGCTTTCACAAGTGTATAAAGCAGAGCACTGAAATTCAAGGAAGCTGCCATGGTCAGTATTGAGGTATCCCAGCACAGGATTAAGTTTTAGTTCAAAATTCAAACTTTTAAATGCTTGCTATCAGCTGGACTTCCTTCTTTAAATGATCCCCAAGACTTAAATCAACAGCTGTATACACATCTGTAAACTGCAGATTTGCAATATAGCTATTTGTCCTTTTAATATTCAAAGCAGTATCAGTGATAGAAAGTAAACAAATATTACTGGAGATGATTCACCTAGCAGCAACATCCATCCTCAACATGCCAATGTCTTCTACAAAATCCTAAAATAAACAAGGAAGTGCTGATACTGCTGAGTATGTGTTAAATGAGTTCTGCTGACCCACTGAGGCAGGTGGCTTGTAGGTAAACAAAAAGTGACTTGAGTATATTAGTTTCTACCTGGAACATGACTGGGGAGACTTCACTGCCATTGCTGATGGAACCATTTTTTTTCCCCCAGCATTGTTCAACACAAGGGTTTATTCTTCTAATCAAGAAATGATGCAAAGAGCTTGGAAGACATATTTGTTTTAGAAGCCCACCTGTTCTTCACACCTTCATTTGCCTCCATTTCAATGTGCCCCGTACCTTTATTTTCTCAGAATACAGTATTATTTAAAATTATGTGTCACCTACCAATCTCCACTGTACCAATAGAGAAATTAAACAACTGCAGTTTAACCATCACAGAAGAACATAAAAATTACATGTATGTGCAGCAGAAGTTATTAAATTGATAATTCATCCAAACTAGTAGCAGTAAGTACATTAAACCATTTTCCTCATTTTACTTGAAGTATTTATAAAAATAAGAAATTTGTATTAAAATAACTACATTGCAGTTTTTGAAAGCATTACTTATATATTCAAATCAGTGCTACTACTTCTCAATGCATTTATTAACAAAATCATATAACCAGCATAGGCCATGAAAACCTAGGACAATTTTACACGTGCTTGCTATTACTCATTTATTAATCCTTCAGTCATGCCCAATCTTTATGAAATTGCTGTAAAATCTTTGTAGCAAACCCAGTTAAAGGCAAGTTCAAGTAAAACACAAATAAAGGTATTTCAAATGCTAAAGTTATGTAAGGGGAAGGGGAGAGGGGAAGAGGGAAGCACAAGAATGTTATTAAGTTCACTGTATATATCATTATTACCTCATACAGCAGACAGCCTAGAGACCAGATGTCAGACTTGAAGTTGTAACCATTTTCATGTATTCTCTCTGGAGACATATAATAAGGTGTACCAACTGCAAAAAAAAAAAAACCACAAGTATTTTTGAATGAAAATTTCTGTTGTTATGCAGTAGTAAAATTACAGTTTTCCTGGTAGAAGAATACTTTTCATCTTTCTCATTTTGCTACACTTAAAACTTGAACTCATCACTGAAGTGTCACTTAGGACACTTCAGTTTGACAGAAATACATGAATTAGGTATCTTTCATCCAATGCAGCTTTATTTTCACTAGTCATACCTCATCACCAGAGCTACGCAGATGCAGAACACTTCAAAATTTCGCTTTTAAAGAACCTCATAAGTTTCTTCTGAAAAGAGCCAAGGGAAGGTACTACACACACACATCCATGCTACTTTTCCAAACTGTTATCACTGTGGCTAAAAACTAGAAATTCTCCTCCATGGGCTGAATTTTATTTTTTGTTTCATGAGATCTGTTCTTCCTTTGAGGATATATATAGCTGAAAAAGCTGGTTTTGAAACTAAAAAACAGAGCTACTTTGAACAGCTGAAATTAAAACAGCCTGAGATAAAGGACCTTAAGAGATGAGGGCAGGAAAACCAGCAAGCCCAGCAGAAGCTGAGGTTCCTATGGGTGATTCAGCCATCAGCTGTAGGACTAAATTCCACAAGGGCTTTTCAGCTCCCAAACCTGTGCCTGTCCCAGCTTAATCCTGCCTCAGAGTTGTGGGCTCTGGAAATGTCTCCTCCTGAAAAGCAGCATTTATTAGAACTGCCACAAGAGTAAATTTATATTGGATACTCAGGAACATCACTCCCCTTGATTTTAATCAAACCCTACCCATCTGTGTGACAAGTTACTTGGAAGACTGAAATACTGAGAGATGTTCCACCTTTATAAAAAAAAAACAAACATTACAAAGAAGTAGATGAGTGATGGTTTCATGTATGACAGAGCAGTAAGAAAAAGAAGTTATGGAAAATAACGATAGTGGCAAATTTAGTGCACTGTTTCTGAACTTTCTCCCTGTATCCTCCAAAACGACTGCCTAGCAGCAAAAAAAAAAGTCACATATCCATACATATTTTTATTTGAATTTTGTTTGAATATTGTCTTAAGCACTGAATCCAGATGATGAAAAACAGCTGATTCCTGTCATTTCAAGTTGATTTTATTTTGAAACCAAACATCTTGCAACACCATCAGCAATTAAAATCAGCAATTTCTCATTTTTCTACTTTGTGGTATGAACCTCATGTATTAACACAAGGATCTGGTTTCACTTCTGCTCATCTGAATGGATGAGGCTAACTCAGAATTGATCTCTATATGAATACTGGAAACAGAGCTACAGTGAGTATATAACTACTTCCACATCTGAATAATCAGGGTAAATAGCTTTAAGTAATCAGACAGATAATTTTACTCTAATAATTTCCAGAAGTTAAGGGTTTTGTTTTGACAATGTGCCCTACCTTTAAGAAATACTGCATGTCAAATTATGTCACACTTTCTTAGGGAGTAAGGAGGAGGGAGAATTACTTTCCTACTTGAAGGGCCCAGGTCAGATAGGGAAACCCAGAACTGCTTATCTTGGGTCAGGCCACTGCTGCTGGTAACACATAATTTCACCTAATCTGCTCATTGGTAAACAAATGTTGAAAACCCATATAAACTGCTTCTATGACAGGCAAAACCAGAGGACCTCACCAGATGGAGATCATATGGATCTCCATCTCCAATGGATCTGGCCCCCTAAACATTCTGGGGGAGATTTCCAGCTCTAGGAAAACAGAGAGTGCCACAGTCCCTGTGCCTCAGCACTGGGCTGAGCACTCAGTGCAGCTCTGAACTGAGGCTGTGAATGGAACAGCTTAAAAGGAGAAAGGCTGGGGAAAGGCAACTCGAGAGAGTACCGTGGGAGACATTTACTCTTATAGGATGTTTACATTCACCCACAACAAAGAATGGTCTTTTCCCTGCAAAACAATAGGCAATCAGATGGGTAGACCACAGTGCCAAAATAACTACCAAAATATCCAGAAGCAGCTCTGCTCCCTGATGTATAAATGGAGTACTTCAATGGGCACTTAATGACAGATATTTTAAGATTAGAATTGCTACATTTGGAATGAAACAAATTTAATTTTTTTATTAACTTACTGTTTTATTTTCCCCTTGAATTTTTTTTAACACCCCAAGGATTTGTGAGCTTGGACACCTCTGAAAATTTCAGCTGCATTTTGTATCCACCAATTAAAGCACTGGTTTAGTATATTCTGATGCTTTGTTGGCAGAATTCATCTAACAACAGAAAAAAGTTTAACAGTAATGTGGTTGTTCACTGGCTACAGCAGCAGTGCCTCTGCTGCTCTGAGGTATAACACACGTGGCTGGCAATGAGTAATGTGCCAGAAAGAGGCTTCACAAAATCCACAGGGGGCAGCTGAAAACACTGAGGTTTGAAGGTTCACAGTCTACCAAAAGCAAAGGTAATTTTAACCAGTAGCTCTGGGACGCCTCCTGATACATTAGGGGTCTGATATGACCATGATAGTGAAAAGCAAGAACAAATGTTACCATTTTACAGCCTTTAGCTTAGTGTAACACCTTCACTGCAATACAAGCTGAGATCCCCCGATGATTAACTAGTAAAAGGAATTGAAATTAGTTACTTTACTCATGGAATCACACAAATAACCTGAAGATTCAGACATTACTACTTGTATAGTAAACTGTTTTTAACAGAACACAACTCTAAAGATTCATTATTCTGACATTCAGGAACTACAGAAAGCATTGCAATGATCCTTTTAACACAGTGAGCACTCTCAGGACATAGCTGTGCTGCTGGTGAGCAACTACCAGTGTGATTATGTTTGTCTTAGATTGCAGTGTAACATGTAACCAAAAGTATGTACTCTATTACCAGCTGTTAAAACCAGGTGGGACAGTGTTCTTTATCCTCTTCCAGACCCATCCTCCCTCCAAGGCTTATCTTGGTTAATGGGCCACTGAGTCTCACTGCATGACTGATAAAATTACATCATCCCATTGGGAGATGCTCCACCCAGCAGGAGGAGCCAAGCATTCCTACCTGGGTATAATCCGAGACTCAGAACAGCCCGGGCAGCCTTGCTCCACTGGATTCCCAGAGGAAGACAGGACCCATCTACACCACCACTGGACCTTCAGAGGAAAACTACACCCTTCTACAGGATCACTGCTTCAGCAGAACTAGATCTGTCACTCCAGGAGGACTGCAGTCACAATTTAATCGGACTGCTATCAACATCCTGGCCAACTGGATGTCAGGTTGTATCCTGACTATCAGTGATTATTGATTTTGGTACTACTGCATTTTTTATTTTAATTTTCCTAGTAAAGAACTGTTATTCCCATTCCCATATCTTTCCCTGGCAGCCCCTTAATTTTAAAATTATAATAATTCAGAGGGAGGCAGTTTACATTTTCCATTTTAAGGGGGGTCCTGCCTTCCTTAGCAGACACCTGTCTTTTCAAACCAAGACACTGTTATATTTCCTTCCTGAATTTTTTTTCTGCTAAGTGAAGTACAGCATCCCAGTAGTACAGAGATAGGCAACTTCCTGATTTCCTTTACTCATCTGAAGACACGGAAGTGGGATAATACCAGAAAAAAATCAGTAACTTCAGTGTTCTGCTCGCTGCATTTGCAGACCTGTGATAACCTGCAAGTCTGACAGTAAACTCGTTGAAAATGGTCTGGGTCAAATACAGTGTTTCCTCAGAATCTGTTTCTGATCTGGAGCTCACTCCCTTTAAAGATGCTGTAGATCCAGAAAGTGTTGATTCTATATGCAAGCTTCCTGTTACTGGCAGAGGGAATGAACATAATGGAAATGGTGGTTAATATAGAGCAGCGAACTGATTTGAAGGATCAGAGGCAAAGAATTTATTACAAAAAAAAAAAAGGAGTTATGATATCAACAGTTCATTTTACTACCTGGATCAACATAACTCACAATGCACCTAAGTTAAACAAGTGCATGAAGGAATGGAAAGAAATATAGTAAGTTGCTCTAATATAGTTACTAGCTCTAAAATAGATATTAGCTTTAAAAGCTATGAACTATTTTTAGGCTGGGAAAGAAAAATCTGCCTGGTAAATGTTAATTCCACTTATTTAAAACAATGTAGTGGTTCATTCAGGACAGCTTTAACAGATAAACCACAATTTTAAAAATGGCTAATTAGCCATTACTGACATTTCATGCACTAGAATACATAACTATCAGAATTCAGAAAGGGGGCTAAAGAGGCCAAATTACAGCTATCAAAAGACATAGTTTACATATGACTCAGTGTCCATGAGATCACAGCAATTTTTTAATATAGAGTTCAATACAACATGCTTAACAAGATGAAAGTGTATGCTGAAGACAGACAAACCACATCAGAAACAAGCAGCTTGGAGTCCTTTCCAACACTAATAATTATAGAGTGTTCAGGGGTTTGTACTTATTTAATATAGCTATAGGAGATGTCTAAGTCAAGGGCTCATCTTCAAGGACAGGACCCAAAATACCTCACTTATCCAAAGTAACTCTGCAACCTAGCCCACAATGTGCAAACAGTCCTACAGAAGTCAATCTATAAATATCTTGAGTTATTTTATAACAACACAATTATAATTTCAAAATTCAGTTTGAAAGCTGAATTTCTCTTCATCTTTCAAACTATTGTAAGAGATCTTATGTTTCTGTACATAAAATACACAAGCTATTTTAATACTGCTTCTTTGATGACTGCAATGAGTCAGCTGCAGACTTCCCTGCCAGCCTGACTGTACACTGAGGACACAGGTTCTGAGTATGGTTGGGTAGCTAAGTGGAGTTAATTCTATTTACAGAATGGTGCTGCAAACCACCACCTCATCATACACTACTGCATTAGAGACCCATATGTGAGAGGAGAGGAGAGGAGAGTATTTGCACACATTTTCATAAGATATTTTATTCTCCACAACCTGTGTGAGGTTATAGTCAAATTCCTCACATAACATAGTCTATGCTGGGGACAGCACTGTCACAGAAATGATAAAAGTTGTCAAAGCACAGAGGACCAGAATTCCATGCAGATGATTCTCTGCATTCATGCATTTTAAGAAGACTGTAGATCTGCTCCTTTTCCCTGCAAGAAGGGATCCCCATGCTGGTAGCAGTGCCTGCCTGGACAGCACACTGCGCAACCTTGCAGCACAGCCCCAACAGAAAAACCAAGTGATTTTTTTTGTAACTGAAATATGAAAAAACTTATCTTTACATCTCCTGAATGGCTAACAAAATAAAAAACACATATAACCATGAGCTGACCTTAGAATTGCCATTTCACCAAGGAGCATAAGGCCTGGCATTCAGTCATTACAACAACAGCAGCAAGAAAACTGTAACACAGTCCTAGGGAAAGGAGTAAGAAGTCTTTGTTGATCATATTCCCCTTTCTAATATAAAGTCTTCTGAAAAAAAGAAATTTTGTCAAGTTTGTATCAAATCAACAATACTAAATGCCTCTACTTCCTCTGCCCTTTTGTAAGAAAGGTTGTCCATTTCCAAAAAGACACAGGCATTACAATAGAGAATTTTTGATAAAGCTGTATAGAAAGAGTTAAGAACAAAAAAATCCTGTCCAGTGCAGTTTTTTCATGTGTTTCAAATGGACCATCAGTAAAGATTCTAATTAAATCAGTATTATTCATAATTAACAGTTAGAAGCTGTAGCTAATTAAAATTTTAGTACATTTCTTTATCTCTGAAAGCCTGAATCTAGTTTGCTACTGAAATTTTTATAAAGCCTGTAAACAAGTATAAATTGCTACACATATGTTTGTAATTTACTAGGTTACATGCACCAAAGGTTTATGGAATCTTATAAAAAGATACAACATTGAAAATAATTTCAAGAAAACCAGCATCAGAAACTGCACAAGAAATCAATTTAAGAAGTGGTCCCTGTTAGTGACATGACAAATCAGAAAGTCACTGTCTTCTCTAAGTTAACAGCTGACACAAACCTTTCTTCTAGGCTGGATTCTGACATTAGGTCATAATTAAGAGGGAAATGGGAAAAGAGGAGATGGAGAAAGAAAACAAAAAATAACTCCTCTACCAAGACACAGCACCCAAGAGAAGAAACAAAGCTGTCATCCTCCCCTCCTTCCCCCACTCTCTGGATGACTCCTGGATCTGTATAGAGATCTTTAGAGGGGTCAGGGGTTTTACACTGTTTTTAACTATGGTGCAGTCTTCAGGTTTTTTAATTTCCAGCTCAGCCATCACACAACCATTCCCCTGCCAGGAGCCAAAATAATCCAGGGCTGAGGCAGTCTGCTCCTCTTTAACTTCCTGACTTGTGTCTCAGAATGCAAGTCTGCCCTCCCACCTTGACTGCTGACCTCTGCCTTATTCACGAGCTCCTACTCCTCAGATTAGCACTTGCAGCTCCCTCTTCCCACCCTCCTCCTTCCATTTGCAGGCAGGAGCAGAGCCCACCTGCAAGAACCGAGCCCAACCCAACCTCTCCACAGTGCTCCCAAAGATGGCCACTGGGTGCTTCCAGAGATGGCCACTGGCTTACAAGGGCAGCATGAACAGCAGCACTTTGGGTGACACACTGTGCCCTGTGACAGTAGATCTTCAGTGTCACACCTGACTGACCTTCAGCCTGGAACCTGAACACATTTCCAGCCTGGGCTCTCCACTCCTCCTCAGTCTCCTGCTAATGCAAGACTGCACTCTGTGTCTGGGGCTCCTATTAACACCTCAGCAGTTACTCATGGGTTTGACTTTACCAGTCTGCACCCAACATGGTAAAAACTGGCACAAAAGAGTGGCCAAAGGCTTTCTGGAGGACAGGGAAGTAAGGATAGTGTCAAACATTTCCTGTCCAAAATACTCTATTTTTGGCCATTAACACATGTATCACTCACACCTCAATGTGGTACAAACATGAAAAATATGCAATCAATGAGCAGGCTTGAGCTCAGCAACCACCTAACACAGTTAATTCAGTGAGGGAAAATAATGTTTTCTTATCTAAAAAAACCCAACTTAACAGTATTATGAACACTAATTCCTACATTTCTCTTTAAAGCAGGTGTTACTCTATTTACAAGGTTTTCCTCTTCTACAGAGATCCTCTTAGATTCTGTCCTTCAACCATTACCTACTTTTAAACTTTAAATATATGCCAAAAATTTAAATCTTCTTCTTTAAAGGCTTCTTAATCAACCTAGAATTCATATGCTACTCAAAAGATGCAAATTACATGAGAATTTTGTTCATATAGAGATAATATACTGCTAGTTTTGTATGCTAGCAAAGAATAAACTGAGCGTTTCAGAAAACTTGCAAAAACAAGAATAGCAAAAAAGCAATCTGGGAATGGATTTTGTTAATTCTGATCTCCCCTCAACCACTTAAGCTTATATTGAGAAACATCACCTTAAAAAAATGGAAGCTACTCTGAGAGCCCTTTGAAACCATGTAACCAGGAGGTCATTGGTGCTACTCATGCAGGCACACAGAATTAGGAGATTCCTTCCAGCATTGAATAAAGCTCAAGTCAATTTTTAAAAAATGCATCCATATTATCACTACAGTGTCCATTTCTGCCTCCGAACAATCTTTAAGACAACAGTGTTACCTAGGTGTGCTAGGTAAAAATAAATTACGCAAAGGAGGGAAAATACACAAACCATGCTGAAAGTAACGCCTCAGTGTTAAAGTGTTTCTGTATTTGTCCATGGTGCTGACCATTTTTATTATTAAGAACATCTTTAGGACCATATTTTTATTACTGCTTAAGAACAGCTTTAGCTGGTCCTAACCCTTTTCCTCCTCCTCCTGAGTGGGCACAGTATTTCCACCATCTAAAAGACTCTACCTGTCCAATATCTGTACCTCAGAACCTTACCTAAAGAATGTGCAGCTGTGGTTTTGGAACTGAAAAATCGACCAAGTCCAAGATCTCCCAGCTTTACTACTCCTGTAGCTGTAATGAACACATTTGCTGGCTTTATATCTGAAAGAAAAATAAATTTAAAAAATGAAAAGTCACAGTGAGGTTGCAACAAAAGCCACTCTTCTATTAGTAATAGACCCAAAGAGGATTTTATTTACAGCTAACATTGGTAAAATTTCACAGTACTATTCAGAAAGAATGGGTCCAGAATATAGAACTTCAAATCCATTATTCTAATAGTACAACCATCACTCAAGCAAAGAAAACCAAGAGACAAGGAAATTATTTTTTAAAAAAACACAAAGAAAAAAATTCACACACCCAAAGTCCAGAAGTACAAACAGGGGAGTTCATTACTACTTTATATAAGCTACATAGAAGGACATACATTAGAACTAGAGAATCTCTTTTGTAATGTCTTAAGTAACAGCCTAAAAATGTTTTCAAGAACTGTAAAGCATTTTTCATCACTTTTTCTGATCAAATTACCCACAGTGGCATAATGTTATTTATTTGAAATAGAAAACTGATTCTCTGTAAGAGCAGGCATTAAAAAAAAGAAGCAAGTTTACTCAGGAGAATGGTTATTTGAACGCGTCAACGGAATTGGGCTAATCAAATAGAAACAAAGGAAACTAATGATGTATACCCCAGATAGTTATTTTTCACAAGTAATATTCAGTTTAAGTTTTAATCCAATCCCTTAGAGACAACGGCAGATACTTTTATTCTATGATTTCTAACAAGGTACCTACCTTATTAGTCTTCTAAATAAACTGACCTGTTATTTTTTTGGCAAGGAAGTTTAGCTCTTACCCTGCTGAAGAACAATCCACCCTGGCCCTAAACTTACAGAAATCAGTTTAATTTGATAAGGGGGAATTACAGTTTGTGTAAGATACAGGTGCAGTAAAAGGAATGGTTAATGACCCTTCAAACACCAGCATTTTCAGGTTTCCAGTAAAGAAGTTACAAAACCTTACGAGTTTTAGGGGAAGACAGAAGCAATTATGTTCTTCTGCCATCTGACCCAGTTTTCAGGAGTTTGGATAAACCTTTGTGTAATAATCCAACATGGATATAGCTCAATTTAAAAATCGCTTTAATTTAATTGCTTTTGGCATGTAACCATGGAATTGTTAGATTTGCCACAGGTTTGCCAGAAACTTTGAACTTAGTATTTCAGTTTAAGCAACTTAAATCCTTTTGTTTGGAGCTAAAATATACAGAAATTAACTAATTTAATTGTAAAAATATTGAAGGAAGGTACCCTATGGAAAGAACCTGTATTTTATGCCCTCTTTGTATCATTTGCACTCGCAATTATCTGTTGCACTCAAATGCACAAAGGGGAAAGAAAAAAGGAGAATAACAAAGGAAAGGTATTTGCAGGGGCAGGGGTATCTGAGCTCATCTGCTAAGGGTGCAAAATTTCCAGCTGCAAATGACAGAACTCAGCAGACATTGGGAGACTGTTTCTATCAGGCAGTGAGCTGCATTCTAGTACAGGGAGCCACCAGCCTAAGACAGGCAATGTCACCCAAACCTAAGAAGTGACAGCCCACACACAACTCACAATCCCATAACCAGAGGGATTTCAAAAAGGAAAAAAAAAATATAGCAGATCTGAGAAGAAGCAATACTATTATCTGTTTTCTCTGACTCAAGAGTTACGAGATGAAATGAAGACCACATCCAGAGGAGACAGCAGCACCGAGGTTTAAAATGGGCCAAGGAAATTTAGTACCTGACAGGGATAGCTGGCAACTACAAGGGCTGTTGGGACACAGAGATTGGAAATAGGGGAAAGGAGCAGAGAATTGGAGGAAATGCTCACACCTGCACATAATCCAATAAAAAAGGGACTAGGAGAAAAGCCTGTATATCACGGGCAAGCAGGGTACAAGCAGATACTCTTTAAGACAAGCAGGTACAAGAAGTGTAAAGAATGGACTGACAGATCTGTGCAAGGTAGGTAACAATACCTGGGCAAGACAACAGGAAAATAAAGAAGAATAAATACAGGACAGAAGACAAGTGCCAGAAAAATGAAGTGGCTATGGCAGGGTATCCATCACTTACAGAACTATCGCTTATTTTGAAAAACCTGCCTACCACACAAACGCCTACCACAACAAATGTACAACCACAAACTTCTCTCAGTTTTCTATTACTTCTAAAATTTCACAGAAATGTAATTTGTTTCAGCTGTCAAAATTGATTCCAGCCAGCTTAATTCTCACATAGTCAAAGGTTTAGTAAGGACAAATCATCTTTGATCCTGTATTACCTCTATGCATAACACGACGAGAATGCATATGTTCCAAGGCACTGCAAAGCTGAACAAAGTATTTCCAAACTGTTCTTTCAGGAATCAACCTCTTCTGTTTCTTAAAATGCTTAAAGAAAAAAACATGGATAGCGAATATTAAAAATTAAAACTTGCATAAAATGACTAAAAAAAAGACAGAAAATCCCTAATTAAAAATTAAAAAAATAC